GAAGATGCTGCAGCCGGCATGTGTGCCCGGGATTGATTTCTATGGAGAGTTCATCCACTTGGGATGACATGCAGCTCTTGATGTGGACGATGTTTATGGTTTTTGGTAACGAATACACTGATTTTTCTCACGTTTAGGGACCCAGGGGTTTGAGAGGACCGGCAGGCCCAGCGGGCTATCCAGGAGAGCAGGGCTTAGACGTAAGTACAGCACTGCTCATTCTATCCCTCTGAAAACCCGACCTGACACTTAAAAACTGCAAAAAAAGCAAGATCGCCGTCTTGGGTCATGTACAGGTGGGTTCTTTGGGAGATTCTCACCTGATGAACCAGGGCACACCCGCCATTATCAGTGTGAGTCCCCACTTGAAGCACAGGTCTCCTGGGGGGAGCAGGCAGCCCCACCATGATAGGAAGTCCAACATGGGTGCTTTAAAATCAAGGGTTTTCTAGAGAGGAATCAGGGACAACCAAGGGTGCCACCTTCTGACTTCTATGACTGACATATGATTTGTGTGTTACTGCTGTTGATTTAGGGACCTCCGGGCCAGGCTGGGAGTCCAGGTTTGAAGGTAGGTGGCAGTGAATAAAATACACTTACAGTCCATGTACCATGGGGAAGTCACCACAGATACTTGTCAGGAGGATGTCGTTCCCCTGATTAGAACCCCCCAAAGGCTTTAATAAGTAAAATTTTAACAAATTGCTTAGCCAGAAGTCATGCTTGTAATTACTTCTTTAATATTCAATGTCCAGAGTGCTAACCATTACACTGTGGGAACTGCTATATTTAATACTCCAAAGCAATTCGATATATTTATTTATTTATTTTCTATTTCCAGGGTAATCCTGGTGAAGGAGTAAAAGGGCAAATGGGAGACCCGGTAAGCACCCCCTTTTGCACGGAGGAACAGATGTTAAAATGTATGTGCTGCCTGGGTTGCGGAGGCTAGTCTGATGATCACTTAACTGTGTGTATTATCTAGTCGATGCCCATTTTTCTTTGCTGAATTATTATGGCACCATTACCCGTGACTCTAAAATGACAGTTCTGACAAAATTTAACACCACATTCAAGTTAATTTATGTGACACACTTCACCCTAGCATAAGAGATTGAACATTTATGCTAATATATCCTTGCTAACAACTTTGTTTAATTACTGATTTGTTTGGCTTAATTTCACAATTTCATCAAAATTTTAAACTCCATGCATAAATAGAAACATAAATAACTAGAACCAAAAGCATTTAGCAACACACAGTCTTCTCCTCCCTCCCTTCCTTCCTCCCTCACACCCACAGTCCTTGACACTGAAGCATGAAACTTAGCAAGGACAAGCTTTAGAAAAACATTTCAAGATGGCAGCTCATCTGGAAACAATCTGAATGTCTAACAGTTGGTGAATGGTCCTTTCAACACTTGTGGGCAAATAGTTAAAAAAC